CCCCCCCCCCCCCCCCCCTTTTCAGGTACCTATATAACCCTGATGCCTATAACTCCCTTAAAGGGACAACAGTACCCTAGGCCTGGAGCACGGGATCCAGCCGGATGGGCAGATGCCATCTGACAAGACGATTCTCGACTACGAGAGTTTGGTCTAGGGATCTGAGGGATTTGTTTTTTTTCGGTAGATTTTTTTGGGGTTTAGGGGTTTAGGGATTTTCGGGGGGTTTAGAGTTTGAGGTTTAGGGTTCAGCGATTTGGGAGGGGTTTGGATTTGGGGCCTGAGGATTTGGTGAGTGTAGGGTTCAGGAATTAGCTCTTTGCGGGTTGCATCTACGATTCGCGGAGGGGTGCATCCTAACACGCTCAAGGCTTCCAGGGTTGTAAGCCGAAGGTCATGGCTCCTAAAGGTTTTCCCTAATACAGCATTGATATGAGCTCTCGTCTAAACTCCTAATTAGTATCCCCCTCAATAACCCCTATAGCAGTCCCCTATATAATCCCGTATATAACCCCCCTTTAAGGAGTTTAGACTATAGCTCATATAGCTCTTACATGAACCAATGTAGGTTCCTAGGGTTCTTTAAAGGGATTTTTCATCCCAGGGATAAAGCCCAAGGAATACAACCCTGAAGCCCTGGACAAATTGAAGTCAAGGATTGGTGGAGGAGATGTGCCGTGGCTGCATGTACACCATGGGAGCCATAGCCCTGGATCTTCAAAACGGGGCCATCTGAGCTATATGAGCTTGTGAAAGGTGGATATAGGGGAGTGTTATAAGGAGTTCAGACTATGGCTCATCTGGAAGGGATCTTCATGAAACCTGACCCTGGTTTCTGGGCAGTCTGTATTAGATGCATGTGGGGTTTCTGAATGGTTGGATACAGGGTTATGGGTCCTGGCTGAAATGTGTGTTGGGCTGAGGGTTTTGGAGCAGAGGGGAAAGAAAGCACGCGAGTTCTTGGAGGTCATCGAAGTCCTCAAAGTACTGGTTCCGTTCTAAGTGGTTTGGAAGGCCAACCCTAAGTTACTAAGCCTTAAAACCATGAACCCTAAACTGAACCTCAAACCCTAAACTGGAAGTCAGCCCTAAAAGCATTAGAGTTTGGAGCAGATGCCTACGATAAGGCCACGCTTGATTGGGGATTTTGAGGGGGACTCCTCAGAGGGGAAACAGGGTTACACATTGTGTATTTAGGGGCTTAGGGCTTAGGGTTTATAGACGAACCACTTTGTATCCAGGCGACATACCACATGGTGGTTCATGGGGATCTAATGCTGCCTCGATAGGGCTTGATGGGTGGTCAAGGGAAGCACCGACCCTAGACCCCAGCCTATATGGCTTGTTCTCAGAATTATGGGCCCGTTTTGGTTAGACCTAATTTTTGGGAACTACCCTAAACCCCATACTCTAAACCCTATATGCCCCTATATAACCCGCCTATGTCCCCCTTCAAAGATACCAAAATGGGACCCTAATCTTGGGAACGACCTAAATGCAGTCCGTTTATCTGGAGTCGTGCTGAGAAATCATGAAGCCTTGCAATGCAAGAGATCTGCGTTTGGTGTGTAGGTCTGGCACATTCTATCCTTCATAGGATCCTAAAGCTAAAGCAGTCCGCAGCCTTAAGCTGAGAAATTCGTTGGGCCCCATTACCCTCTTTTTTGTGCGCTCTCGTTTTCGGAATTGAACTAGATTGAACTAGGTTATAACGTGCAGAGACCTGGACTCCTTCTAGTCCTGGTTTCTTAGGTGTCCTGGGTAACTGGGGGTTCTAGCTAAACCCTAAACCCTATACCCTACCCAGCTTGGGCATGTTGGCCTAGACCCTTACGCTGTAAGTCCCGGAATCCAATGTGCTTCGAACCGTACACAGCTAAGCGGTCCGACCCTGAACCCTGACTATCAGTGTACTGTCTGGAGCATGGGTTTACGGCCTCAACGTTGCAATCGGCTGAGGATGCCTTCAATACCTTCTTCAGCGAGCAACTTGGACAAAGTTGAGGACATTTCCAGAGCAAAGGGCTACATACAAAATGAGTGAAGGTGGGGGCTTCTCCCCTATATAACCCTAATTTACTATAGTAGTTTCCATTTTCTTTTCCATTATCCCTTATATAACCCCAAGATAATGATTTACGTCGAGCTTCAGGATTCCTGAACTCTCGGAGGTTTCAGGTCTGATGGTGTTGAAGGTCAGGAACACCCTGGGGTTGCTGGCCAAAGTGTACGCTTTCTTGGGGGACATCATATTCACGACATTGGCCTGCATGACTATTATTCAGAGGCGCAATGTAACTAGTGTTGGCTGCTTGAGTCTAACCCAAGGACAGGCGCTGGCAAACACGTCCCCCGGTGCGTGATGGCCGCTTGGCATTGTTTGTGGGACTACAATATCCCTGGAGGATCACTACATTCCGGAAAACAGAACGTGTTTTCATTTGAGAAGCTCCCCCTCATGTAGGCTTCAGAACTTTATAGTTTCCTGGGGTTGTCCTACAACCTTACTTAGGGGGTGCGGCGGACTTGTTAAGTAGGGTAGTCATAGGGTTAGCATATGGCTTAGATGAGCCATTTTTTGGGATGTCGAGGTTGTCCTGCCCTTAGCCAGAAGTCCACAACTTAAGCCCAAACTCAGGGTTTAGGGTTGAGTGTGCATGGCCCAAGACTGCAAACAGCCATTTCTGGCGGGGGTTCCATATCAACTCCAAGACGGAGGCCACGATGGCCTTCTGCACTTCATCCCGCCAGCTAGCACAGCCTTATAACCCCTAAACCCTGAACCCTAAACCCTGAACCAACCTGAAACTCGCAGCAAAAAAAAACATATTCGGCCGCCAGTACAGCTCTACACCCTAAACGCGAAACCTGCAATAAACACATGCAAAACTATCTTCGGGAGGCCGTTCCCCAACGGTTTTGTCAGGCCGTTGGAAGACTGGGCTTCCCCCTTCATGGTTCCCGGCTCCCAAGAACAAGTAGAATTCTTGTCTCGTGCTAATTATTACTCATGCTACCACTTGTTGGTGCTACGGCAGGTTGTGGTGCCAGCAGGTTCAAAACCACCCTCCGTTCGGTGTTGCCATCCGTGCCCTCTGCAATGGCCTGGCCTCCTTTCCTCTGCCAGCGTGTTATGCCTTCGTGTTGTTCGCACCACTCCCCAGTCTTTGTGGGTCAAAACCACCCGCCCTCCTGCCTCTCTTGGCATCCGGTTAAGGGATAGGCTTGCCACCTTTAACCAGGAAACACAAATTGATGTTGACAATTGCGGCCACGGCTCTAACATCCGTCATGCCCTCCGCACGCGTGCCCGCCGCATGCTGCTCTCTCGCATCAATCGCAGCAGGTTTGATTGCGAAGGTGTCGAAGATATTGATGTGGATTGCACCAGGCACAAGGTCTGGTGCGACTGGATCAAATCTTTGTCGCCTCCTGACACAACTGCGCTGTGCATCTGGCGAAGTGGGGCCATCTGGACCCCCACGCGCCGATATCACAGACCTCGGGTCCCCCAGCCTGAACTCACTGTGTGCCCCTTTTGTGGGTACGAGGCCGCAAGCGCCCGTCACTTCTGGTCAGATTGCCCCAGATTCAACAATGTGCGGAGCGAGCTCCAATCCATGCATCACATCGCCGCCTCTTGGTGGCAGAGCCAACCTCGTTGCACCAGCAAATCTGGTTGGATCACTCGCCAGGCTGCCCGCACGGCTGCGCTTCGAGCCCATTGCGCAGTCGCAGCGTGCAAACTTGGCATCCGCATTTACCACGCCGTAAGCCCCGCTTAAGGCCTCGGTTTTTGCCTCAATTTCCCCTCCCTTGTCTCCCCCCTTTGGTTTGGGCCCTGCTTCGGTTCCCCCCGCCCTAGCTTCTGAGGGATGGGTTTTCCTTAACTCTCTTGTGGGACTTGCCGCCTGGCTCCCGCTTGCGCACTACAACACTCCAGGGAGTCTTTGTCCTTGTTGCTGCAAATTAGCACATTGGCCAAGCCGTGATGGCTTTTTGCGTCTATCCCATCAGCCAGGATGGCGCATTTACAGCAAAATAATAATAATAATGAAGGTCCTCCCGATTGCACTATTCAGGATGCATTGTTCCTCCTTAATCCTGCGATTCGTAAGGAGGATGATAAACTAGCTCAGGTTGCCAGGCGCGAGTGGCGCAAGCTTTTCTCTGATTTTAAGCGTGGGTCTTGGCACGCTGCCAAGTCTGCGCTTAAGCCGCCTCAACTTCGCGCTGCCTTCTCCGCGCACACCATGCGTGCAGATTGGAATAAGCACTGGTGCCCAGCTACCGATGGCAGTCGCCAGGCCACCGATGCCTGGCGGCAGTTTGCTGCTGACACTAACTTCCCTAATCCCCCTAATCCCGTTAGGGTTGAAGCTCCCCAAGGTCCTAGGGTTGAATTGCCTAACAGCCCCAGGATCAGAGAACAAATAATTTCTCGTAAAGATTTTGCTGAAGCCCTTCTCGGGGCCAAAGGCAGTGCTGGCTTCGATGGGTGGACTGCCCACGAAGCTGCCTGCCTGCAGCGTTACTTTCCTTCTTTGGCAGACGAACTCTTTTGTTTATGGCAGGACACCATGGAACTTTGCAATTCAAGCGATGACTTGCCCCAAGACTTAGCCCTCCAGCTGTGGAGCTGGAGGGTTGTTGGTGTACCCAAAAAGTCCGAGTATGACAGCCGCCCCATCAGCGTCGGTTCCGTTTTGGTTCGGGCCTGGCATCGTGCTATGCTGTCCTGCTGTCCTGCCCCACCTGTGGGCCAATGGTGTGGTAAGAAAAACTCCTCTGTTGTCAAGGCTACTGCCGATTTCTTTGCTGCCAACACCGTCCACGTCGCCGAGACGGATTTAAGTAAAGCATTCGACCACCTGTGGCCTTCACTTGCCGAAGTGGCACTTGTCCAACTTGGTACTCCGCCACCTGTTGCTAGCACCTTACGCAGAGCTTGGCAGGGCCCCAGGTTCTGCACTGTGTCTGGTACCATCGCCAACCCCATTAACCCCATAAGGGGAATCCCCCAGGGTTGCCCTTGTTCCCCGTTGGGTTTAGCCGCCACCTTAGGTCCTTGGTCCTTAGGGGTTGAGATGCTTGACCCTCTCATCAAATCTTGGGCTTTCATGGACGACCGCACCATAGGCATCCTCCAGCAGGGCTCGCGAGAGTTGCTGCGTAGAGGCTTTCAATTTACGCAGAATTTCGACAGAAAAGTGGGTTTTGAAATTAACCCCGACAAAACGCAGATTTATTTTCATGGTTCCAGGGACCTTATCACTATGGAGCACTTAGGTCTCAAACACAACCTTGCTGACCCCCACGGCCCTATACTGCCACGTGATGCAGTTAAGAGAGAAGACGTTGTCGATCGTCTCTTTACTTGTCCTGGGACCATTCAGGTCCGCTCTAAACTCGCCACTGCTTTTGTCAGGCCGTTAGAAGATTGGGCTTCTCCCTTCATGTCTCCCGGTTCTCAAGATCAGGTTAAGTCCTTGTTTCGCGCTATCACTCACGCTACCACCAAGTGGTGGTGTTATGGTAGGTTTTGGTGCCAGCAAGTTGAAAACCACCCTGCTTTCGGTGTGGCCATCCGTGGCCTTTGCAACGGACCTGGCCTCCTTTCCTCTGCCAGCCGCCAGCTCTCGGCGGCCCTCGCCCGGCATGCCAGCGTGTTATGCCTTCGCGTTGTTCGCACCACTCCCCAGCCTTTGTGGGTCAAAACCACCCGCCCTCCCGCCTCTCTTGGCATCCCGCTAAGGGATGGGCTTGCCACCTTTAACCAGGAAACACAAATTGATGTTGACAATTGCGGCCACGGCTCTAACATCCGTCATGCCCTCCGCACGCGTGCCCGCCGCATGCTGCTCTCTCGCATCAATCGCAGCAGGTTTGATTGCGAAGGTGTCGAAGATATTGATGTGGATTGCACCAGGCACAAGGTCTGGTGCGACTGGATCAAATCTTTGTCGCCTCCTGACACAACTGCGCTGTGCATCTGGCGAAGTGGGGCCATCTGGACCCCCACGCGCCGATATCACAGACCTCGGGCCCCCCAGCCTGAACTCACTGTGTGCCCCTTTTGTGGGTACGAGGCCGCAAGCGCCCGTCACTTCTGGGCAGATTGCCCCGGATTCAACAACGCGCGGAGCGAGCTCCAATCCATGCATCACATCGCCGCCTCTTGGTGGCAGAGCCAACCTCGTTGCACCAGCAAATCTGGTTGGATCACTCGCCAGGCTGCACGCACGGCTGCGCTTCGTGCCCATTGCGCAGTCGCTGCGTGCAAGCTTGGCATCCGCATTTACCACGCCGTAAGCCCCGCTTAAGGCCTCGGTTTTTGCCTCAATTCTCCCCCCTTGCTTCCCCCCTTTGGTTAGGGCCCTGCTTCGGTTCCCCCCGCCTTAGGTTCTTGGGGATGGGTTTTCTTAACTCTCTTGTGGGACTTGCCGCCTGGCACCCGCTTGCTCACTACGACTCTTCAAGAAAACTTTATCCTTGTTGCTGCAAAATTGGCACTCTAGCCAAGCCGTGATGGCTTTTTGCGTCTATCCCATCAGCCAGGATGGCGCATTTACAGCAAAATAATGAAGGTCGATCTTGAGCCCACGGTCGTGGATGAAGTGCGCACAGGCACGAGTGACCTAAAAGCTGGGGCATGTTTCGGGCTTTGAGCTGCCGGGCGTGAGTTTTGGGCAGGCTTTAAGGCATCCTTACCTGTTTGGGTGTACCGTGTGGAATCTTCCCCCAAAAGAGGTTAACCTGAGCATAAGGATCCCACTGTAGGGTGAAAAGGCTTGGTGTGGCCCCATGTTTATGACTAAATGCACCGGTTTGGGTGGTACTTTACAAGAACCCTGAAGAATTTCGATCAGTTACTAACTGCTTCTGAACACGTTAAGCAACGCTCTCTGAACCCTAGCTCAGGCAACTTTGTTGATGGAGTTCAAGCATTGTGTGGGTCCTGCTAAGGGAATATCCTTCAGGTCATATCGCGGATTTTTTAACAGCAGCTTGAAATTTCCTAGATTACAAAGGGGTACTAGTATCATTAGAATTACTTGGTAGTTTCCAGGAGGTCGGGACCTTCAGGTGACTTCAAACGTAGAATAACCTTTGTTACAAGGATCCCTTCAAAAATGGGACCTCTCAATTCCCGGAGACCGGCATATTCCTCAATTGTGGATCATTGGGCTCTCTGGTTCCTTGCAGGAACTTACCGTCAGCTCTTCCATCCGGAGCAGCTCATCTCCGGAAAGGAAGATGCTGCGAACCCTGGCGTGCAAAAACTTGAATTTGGGTACTGCCCCCACGCTGTAACAGTTGGACAATATTTATATTGTAGTTATAGATGCCACAGGGTGGGGGCAGTTCCCAAGCTTGAATGTCATGCTTGTGCAATAAAACTGTTTAGGGTTTAGGGCCGGGGCTTGATACCAAACATCCTGCATGACTTTGGTGCACTGGAAGACCGTGATTTCAAAACAATATGACACATAGGGTCGAGCGTCTTGTCAACAGAAGGGTCGGTAAAGGTTGGGGTGATCGATTCTGGACATGAGGAAAAGATCCATGGTTGTGGGGTGGTCATGTCATGTTGTGGTCGTAGAAATCTTACCGTAGATGGTCGTGCAGTCTTGTTGGTCGTATTAGCCTATGACATGCCGGCATATTAACCTCCCCAAAAAGTGAGTGCTCTTCACACCTGACAAGAACCGGGCACCAAAAAGAGTCTACCAGGCAGGCCCCGAACTAGAAGAAAGAACAACTGTGCAGGGCTGCTGTCAATGAACTTAAATTAAAACACTATTGCAAGGAAACCTCATCATTTACTATATACCCATGTTATGGTAACTTGAATTAAGTTCCTTAACAGAAACCCAGTTTGCTGTATCAGTTTGCCTATGAGCTTGATCCTCAGCCCTAGGCTTGACATGAGGCTCAGGGAGAGGTAGGTTTGGGGTGTGGGGGTTGGGGTTTAAGGGCTTTGTCTCTGGGGTTGTGACATGGATTTTTGGGTGAGTGTACACGGGGGAATGTTGGTTAGAAATTCAAACCCTACTATAAGCCTGAAACCCTACTGTGCATGGAGAGGGAAAATATGCACTCTTAAGAATTACAATCCTTCAAGGGCCCCCGACCTAAATCCTCAACCCCATCAACTTGTGCTCAGAAACAACTTCGCGCGCGGCCACTATACTATCGGAAAGGAGATCGTGGACTTGGTTTCCTGGGGCTAGGGTTTTAGGGTTTAGGGTTCGGGGTGTATGTTTCAGAGTTTCCCCCCTTTTTGTTGGTGGTTTTGCTTCTGACGTTTCGGCTCGAGGGTGTACCGTACCTAGAACAACCATTGTGACTGGGCCTATGTACTTAAAGCAGGGTTTTGTACCAATCCTGTATCCTGGGCTCTCCAGGCCGTGCAAGGGCTGGGTAGGCCCCTCGGATATTCAATATGTTCCTCAATGGCTTTAATAGGGGTTCCTATCTACGAACATTGTTAAATTGGTTTGGGGGACCAACGCAGAAGGATTTAGGAACAAGATTCAGGACTTTGGGTGTGAAGGTGTGGGATTCTGCCTGAGGGTGTTGGTTCAGCCTGCTATTGTTAGCCGTCTTTCTTGTATTTTGCTGGATAGGTACATACTCCCGGCCCCTTACACCTCAAGCCCCAAGCTCCACACCTAGCCCAGGTGATCGCAAATTCCTCACTAGCTCTTGTTTTTCATGCTTTTTGAATGCCTTCAACTCATATCAGGGCTTCCGTATCATTACAGGCAAGTTTCATAATTATGGTGGGTTGTGCTCTCTGCGTATCTTACGCTCAGCCCTATAAACACAGTGTATGTATATATATATATATACATATACCATATATATATATATATTCATATATATAGTATGTCTGCCTTAGATGTCTCTACATCTCCCCATATGTCCCTTGATACCCATGTAACCTTCCTGGTAGGTTGGGCTATTGGGTGTCTCTTGTTATCTTAGGTTCTGGACCGCATCCGCAAGCTTGCCGATAACTGTACCTTGGCTTCAAGCCCCCTAAAACCTAAAACTTTAGGGTTTTAGGGTTTTAGGGTTTAGGGTTTAAGGTTAGGGTTTAGCCCTCCGACCTTAAGAACCCTAAACCGCGTGTTTAGGGCGTAGTGTGCAATGTGGAAGCCAACAAGAAATCACCCAAAGAATGGAGAATCAAGTGAACAAGATGGACAAGGATATGGAAACGGGGCCTATGTAGGGTCTTTTGGCCGTGAGTTCCTTGTATAATTATGATATAGGGTACCTCAACTAGACCTGGAAATGATGTTGGTGATTATTTAGGCCCCTACATTTAGGAGTACAGTGCTCAGGGAGTCTTACTTGCCTCTGGCAAGTGGGGAATGGAAAGGGAAAGAGCATGAACATTATTGTATAGCAAGTGCTATTGTATAGAGACTAAGGATCCCTCAGCCCCAAACTCTATAGTCCCCCTGAAGTAGATAGAACATGGCTTTGGGTATGTTATAATAAGGTTTCCATATACTCCATATTCTATCTACTAAGGAGGGGTACTATAGGCCCAAATCCATTCCTTCATTCTTTGCTCAGCAGATGTAAGAGTAGGGAACTGTGCTTACCCATGCTGTGATCAGGTGGCAGTTGTTTAAGCCTTAGAAAGGCAGTCAACATGCAGCTAGCTGGTGTCATGAGGGCTGCCACAAGCACTACCCTTCGCCCCCACCCCCCCGCGCAGGTTGCAAGCTGTATGTTGTACTAGGCTTGGTCCTAGTTTAGTGAGTGAACAGAAATTCCTCAACCCTAAACCCTAAACCCTAAACTCTAAACTCAATCCCAAAAAAATCCACCCTGAGCCCGGTAGCCCCAATCCCGCAACCCCAAGAAGACCCTGACCTACTGTTGGCTGGTAAGACATATGGGAACATAATCCTTGTGTGATCCCCTATATAATCGATTCCCTTATTCCCTACCTGACCACCCCTAAACCCTTAACCCCAGACCCTAAACCCTAAACCCCTGAAGACCTAGGAGGGAGCCATATGGGTATTGGTTTAAATTCCCTATAATACGGGGTCCTATATTTGGGTTCCCCTTATAATACGGGGCCCTATATAAGTTTCCCCCATTTTGGGAACAGTAATTTAGGGAAATTACCATATGGTAGTATCCCAAAATGGGGGGAGCCCGTGTAGATCCCAAAATATTATAGCCCTTATTAACGGGACCCCCAATAAGGTACCCCTAAGTTTAGGGTTTAGGGTTGAGGGTTTTTGGGAAACCCCACGTATTTGTTAGATCCCTAAATCATTCCTTCAAGGTTCCCCTTAGACCTCCTCCCGTACATCCCCTTATAGGTCCCCAGCTCATATGACTCAGAACTCTACGTATGGGGTATATGGGGATCTTATTATAATATACCCAAAGCTATATTCTACCTACTTCAGGGGGACTATAACCCCTTTGAAGACTCCCCAAAATCCCCTTCGTTGCCATTTCAGGCACCGGGCTTCAGGGCTTCTGCGTGTACAACGCGCCCTGGATTGATCATGATGACTTTCTGATGGGGATTACAAAGGGTTTTAGGTTTGAGGGTTTGGGGGATTTTCGTGGTCTTGCTGGGATTTGTTGAGAGATTTGTTTGAGAAACTCCCGTATTTGTAGCTTCTAATAATGGGAGCCTATTTCGGAGGAATTTCGACACTACATAGGTGCCATATTTTTGGTACCCAGAACGAGCCAAGCATTTCAAGAATCGCTCGAACTGCTTTACAGCTTTCGGCATGGTCGCATGTTTTCCTCTACGTCTCTGTACTGCCATCTGGCTTCATCAGTTCGAAGCTGAAGCTGGCTCAAAGCAGATGATATGTGGCAGTAGTGCGGGGACTGTGCTAGATGATAGTGAAAAACCCTTTAGTAGTCCTGGAGTAACAGAAGTGCATAGCTGGAGTTAAGCCCAGCTATAACTCAACCCTCAACCCTAAACCCGAAAACCGAGATCCTAAGCCTAAATCCTAAACTCTCAAATCCGAAGCTCTATACCCGAACCCCTTAAACCCTGAACCCTACACCCTAAACCTAAAACCCTAAAGCCCCTAAACCCTAAACCTTAAAACCTACACCCTAACCCCCTATACCCCAAACCCTAAACAGCAGGCCTGCGGCGGAGGTACCGGATCTGGCCTCGGCTGCCTGATGCTCGAGCGCCTGTCCGTGGATTACGGCAGCTCCCTCGGCGATCAGATGTCAGGGTTTTGGGTTTGGGGCTTAGGGTTTAGGTTCAAGGGCATAGGGTGTAGGATGAAGAGTTAAGGGTTTAGGATTAAGGGTTTAAGGTACTAGGGTTCAGGGTTTCGAGTTTTGGTCGTAGGGACATGTAAGTATATTTGCATATATATATATATACACACATAAAGATATAGATATGTCCGTAACAGCAGCAGTGCAGAATGAAATGGAAAGACAATGGCTCATGATGTGGAAAGTGGACGTATTTCAGGGTTATATAGGCCTGTTTAAGTCTAGAAATCATGGTAACATGGGCCCACTCCAGTCTGCAACAAGTGCTTACATTGGGACAGTTGAGTCCTGTCGGTAACTTAGATTCCTGAGAGGTTCGGACTACTATCCCTGCAGGATACTCATACAGCTGCAGTATATTTTTATCCCGAAACCTTCTTCAATCCATTTAGGCCATCCTAGTACAATGGGTATTTCGAAAACGAGATTATAACAATGCGACCACCTACAAGCCCGTTTTGTCCAGAACTGTTGATGCTGGCATCTGGTAATTTCCTGCTTAGGCAAGAAGAGCAAGATCTCCTTCACGGTGTGGTGCTGCCCACAGGTGCGCCGTTGCACAAAAAGTTGGTACATGACGGACTCTTGTGTACAGGTATAGGTTTGCACGCTTGATAGGACGTCCCCTCCCCCAAACCAACATGGAACCTAAAAAGGAGGTCTTTTGAGGAGTCTTGGGCTTTGCAGTGTAGTGTTTAGGGTTGTTAGTAAGGCCGGTTGCCAATACTGTTCCTTTATATGTCTTCTTCTTCAATCATGACAAAAATATACCCGGACACCCTTTCCAACTTTAGTGCGCCCCTGCATTAGACATCTGGAGGGTTTTGATCCTGGAGGGGGCGGACGCGTGACATTGACAGAGGGCACATGCGTAGGGTCCTGAACAAGTAGAGCGGGGTTTCCAGGTACGTTGTACAGGGACTGTATAAGAACCATTAGCACATGCTCTTTTTCGTTCATCCGCTACATTACCCGCGTATAGCATTTGGGGTAGTGTAGCATAGGCCCATTTTTGTGTTTGTTCCCTTGTTTTTTTCCTCAGGGCGTCTGTGTTATTTATGGGGCTAGAAAAGAGGGACCGTCATCTTGAAAAATATCCATATGTTGGGAAAATAGATATTTGTCATATGACTTTGTATGAGGGGCTATCTTCAAGGGACACAGCAACACTTTGTCATTCCAGGTCGCTGTTCTCCCTAAACCTTTTCAGCCCTAATCCCTAGACCGAAATGTCCAGCTACGTCGGAAGAAGAAACCTCCTAAACCCTAACCCCCCCCCATGAAGTTTGGAGCCTCCTTTTTGCGCAGGGGATCCTAGATACAGGGCTTATAGAGGTCCCTTTAAAGGGAATGGAGGGGTTGTATCGCAGGGTTCTTACAGGAATCATGGAGAAACAAATGCAATATCAAAGGGAACATGAAAAGGAACGTACTATTGTATTTCCCCAAGCCCTGGAGATGCCTACTCCAAGACCTCGCGTGGCCAACATGGGCACACCTGTATTAGGACGTCTGGAATTCTAAGATAAGCGTTTAGGATTGGGGGTTGGGCTATCCTCTGAAGCAAAGGATCTGTTATTTGAGCGGAAGAGATGGCAGAACATAGTTTTGAGCAGGTTCCGCATGCTCTAAGGATCCATGCAGGTCCAAATCCCTTGTTTCGCAATTCAAGCCCCTGTTGGACAACCTGCGGAGACTTTGATCGCAGGTTGCCACTGCGGTGGTTGAGCCGTACAACACGGCGTCCTGGATGTTGTTTGGAATTATTGGGTGTAGCGTCTATAGCGTTGGACCCAGATTCGGATTGAATCGTTAGGACGCTTAGCAGAGCGTAGATGACTGAACAATTGTAGAATTATTTTCTTACAAATCTTCTAGAGCTGTAATCTACTATCTCCCCCCGCCCTATTTTTTAAAGGTTCTTGCATTCAATACCTTCTAAACCCCAAAATCTAAACCCAGTGTTCATGTCATGGCCCATTGGGACTTTCTCTGTCGGTTCTCCATGCGTTGAGAGATGTTGAGAGGATCCCGATGCCCCAACATCAGGAGCCTGTAGTTGCCAAGATAATTATCAACAAAATGGTCCTGAGTTCCTTTGAAAGTTTTGGTACACCTGATATTGGTAATTATTCGGGCAACTACACTATAACTGCCCATAGATGTCATATCACTACAATCCGGTCCTCAAAACTGGGGTTGCCCAAATGGGTTCTCAAACGCACCCACCTCCTCTTTTGACCGTGAGTACTTGAAGGCTATGGGGAGTTCTTAAGCAGGTTATTACATGGTGGTGAGTCCCCCAATTCAGTTTGGCCTGGTTAAAACCCCATTAGAACCTAAGTACAAAGTCCCCTGAGCCTGGAAGCAAACACCCGGAAGCCCAGACCCGCACCCTAAACCCCAAATCCAACATTCTAAACCCTACACCTTAAACCTCGCACGCTACACACCAAGCCCATTTCCTAAGCGGTGAGCACTTGAACATCGTATTTGCATGCATTTGCAGGGAGCTCGAAACTCCAAGATGAAGAATGACTCCTGAAACCACAGCATTTGGGCAACCTACTATCGCTTAAGGAAAAGTCCTTAGGTTCTATGAGGTTCCTGGTATCAGGGAAGGTGTGTTGCCCAAGTCTGATTTTGGATACCGTAGTCATGCGAGGTATGCTCCCAAATTGGAATACGTTGAGCTTCATGTGCATTGCGGAATTCTTATATGCTAGCACCAAGGCGGAGGGTAACAGTAAGAGTCGGGCCATTATTCCTAGTCCCGGGCCGTAAGCACTTAACAACCACATGCGAACCTCTAAAGCCTAATCCCAAAGACCCTCATGCCGAAGTGAAGCAACATTCCAGGGGATACAGGAGAGTTGTATTGGTCGTTATTTAGGCATCTACAGGATACCAAGTAGGGCCTGTCTCCGGGCTAGGGAATGCAACAGCTGACCTTAAGAAGAAGCAGACGAGGAGCCCAACAGCCCTTGTAAAAAAGGACATTCGTCTTTCTAGGGCCCTTTCTCGGGTTCCATGTTGCTTGCGGAGTGCTTTTAAACGCTTGGGCTAGGGTTTGAGGTGTAGGGCTTCAAGGAACCGAACAGCTCAGGTCCTGTGCGTGCACTCCCTTCTGGAGCACACGGATGTGACGATCATGTACCAGGGATGTCCTGAACAAGAATTTTGTTTTTAAGGTTTTAGGCTCTCGGGTTTAGGGTTTACAAAGACCCAACAAGGAGAAACATGTCCTTTCGGGGACGGTTCCCGCAATAAGCTGATTACACCATTATTTCTTGCAGGGTTCCAGAGAAGAAAAAGGTACGACAACGAGGCGCTCTACGACATTTGCCGCAGGCATCCGCCAACTTAAGCGAGTAAATGATCAGTTTCTTTTTCTCTGGGTTTCCTGCAGGATTTTATGGATAGTTCCGGAATTTTGGGTCCCTATTTGGGAGTCCCAGCAAGGACTACAGTATGTTTGGGTCTGTTATGGGTAACTGTGTCTATGGACACCCTCCATATAGGGGCGGGTTCATCATAGTTTCATTATCACAGAGTAGTGTTTGAAAACCACCCTAAACCCTATTCCCTAAGAGCCTGTAGGCATGGCATTCGCTGTTCTATCCCTCGCATCTGCGCTGGTACCCTTCAGCCCTTCAGAGGTTCAAAAGATCCTTAAAGTTATAGATACGCCCCCTTAAGTAGATAGAATATGGGGTATATGGGTTTAGGGTTTAGGATATACCCAAAGCCATATTCTATCTATGTAAGGGGGACTATAGCAGGGTAACATCCTCTAGGCCAGGCAACTCAGCAACTAGGTGCTATATGAGCTACGGACTAAATTTCGGTTGGGGGGGACCTATAGGGGACTATGTAAGGTTTTTTGGGGTGGCTATTACAAATCTAGTCCAGGGCGTATATCTATATACAGTGTGGAGGTAGGGTGGTGGCTGTGTCTGCAGGGTAGCTTGCTGCAAGTTGTGTCACCCTCCATCTCAGTATGCTGCTGGGCAAAGTATTTCAGGGAGAGTTTCTTATTAAGCGGGCAAGGAGGACACAAAATGGAAACTTAGAACCTAAACCTTAAACCCTCAAAGTCGCAGTTTGCTACTTAATCCTGGGGTCCAAGCACTTGACAATCACATGCTCGCCCAGAACCTGTACTACAATTACTATCACCAGATTTCCCACGCACCTAATGCTTGGGTGCTTGGACCCTCAGGGCCACTCAAGTTGCTAAGACATTTGGGTGTCACCGTCGGCCCGGCACCCCCTCCATTCCAACGACATCCGCTGGATCGAGGAAATCTTGCGCCACTTTCTATCCCCAAAGTGCTGTAAGTACCATTATCAGGGCTATGTAGGGATGTGGAAGACTTCCAAACCCTATAAACCCTATAAACCCCAAACCCTGCTTGCTCACAGGAACCTGGACATCGAGCGCCCCACGTACACGAACCTGAACCGCCTCATCGCCCAGATCATCTCCAGCTTAACTGCCTCGCTACGCTTCGATGGAGCCTTGAGCTTGGCTCGTTGTTCAGAAAGTTTTGAGTGTTTCCCAAAGGGTCCATGTACCCAATAATTAGGTACTTGGGTTTGGGGTAATAGTGATTATAGTATTGGCTTTGGGCAAGTATATGATTATTGGGTACTTGGACCCTTAGGGTTTTTATGTTAAAAATCATGGGCCCTTTTTGGGGGGATCCCATAATAAGGACTGACTATCGTATTTTTGAGGTGTACATCAGGGTTCCCCCATCTTTGGAATTTACAGGTCGGGGATTTCCGCGCGCGAAGCTGGGGGGAGCCTCTGAATGCGAAAGTTGACCACCAAAAGTCGAAGCCCTGAACCCTAGAACCTACACCCTAGTGAATTCAGGAAGCCCTAAATCCTGAACCCTAAACCCTACACCCTACCCAAATCCCTAAGCCCCTAAGCCCTATACCCTGAACCCTAAACCCTGCACACTGGACCCGAAACCCTGGACCCTAAATCCTGAACCCGAAAACCCTAAACCTTAAATCCTGAAGCCCCGAACCCTACACCCTGCAGCCTAAACCCTTAACCCTTAAGCCCTAAGCCCCCCAAAAGGAACGTGGACATCACGGAGTTCCAGACTAACCTGGTGCCCTACCCGCGCATCCACTTCATGCTGCTGGGTTGCTGTTAAGGAACCTTGACACCCTATTATTATATATACACATATATATATATACCCATTATGACAACCCTAAACTATTTACCCATTATGGTAACTTAATTTAAGTTCCCTAACAGCAACCCAGGCTGACGTCCTACGCCCCCGTCATCTCTGCGGAGAAGGCCGAAATTCGATTTAGGGCTTCAGGGTTTTGTTAGGGGGTTTACGGCTTCAGTGTTTTTGGGGGCTTCAAGGTTTGCAGGATTTTTGGTGTGGTTTTGGCTCTTTTTTGGGGTTTTTGAAAGGTGTTTAGGGTTTCAGGGCTTAGGGCATAGGATGTTGGGTGTTTTAGAGTTTCAGGGTTTCAGGGCTTGAGGACTCAGGGTTTCAGATAAGTATAATCATTAATCCCAAATATGATAGCACCTTGTAACCATGAGGGGGAATTATGGGGCTTTAACTGGGCTAAAACAACAGTTATAATTACGCAGCTAAGGAGGGGCCCAAACCCTCAACCCTTAACTCCCCAAAACCTTCAAATCCCTATACCCTAGCCTCCACCCCAAATCATGAATTCTTGAACCTGAAATCCTTAACCTCCTGTAAACCCCTACCCCTTCAAATCCTCAATAACCTAAACACCCTGAACCGTAAACCCTAAACCCTGAAACATCCTGAAACCTAAACCCTACACCCTAATCCTTTCTACCCCTCCAAGTGGTGAGGCCTACCACGAGCAGCTGTCCGTCGCCGAGATCACCATGTCCGTCTTCGAGCCGGCTTCAATGATGGTGAAGTGCGACCCACGCCACGGTATCTGGGTTTAGGGTTTAGGGTTTAGGGCTTTATAGGGGTTAAGGGCAGGAGAATGGAAAGCTGCTTCTTTTTTTTTGTGCTTTTTTGCGGTAGGATCAGAAGGATTTAGTAATTAGTAGGTTAAAAAAGGAAAGAAGATGGAAGCTACTCTTACTTTCAGATTTTAGTTTTGGGTCGGGGGCACATAGTATGTAGGCTGAAAATTGAAGAATTGGAAACTACGAGTACTTAGGGCTTGGGCTTTTTGGCTTAGGGCTCCTGGGGAAAAAAAGGCACCTTGTCACTCAAATGCCTTGGAATCCAACAGGGTCAGGTAGACACAAAAATCCCCGGAGCGCCACGAGCAGCCCAGGCAAGTACATGGCCTGCTGCATGATGTACCGCCGGGCGCTTACAGCACTGGTCCCGATATGCTGTTCAAGACGTCTCAGCTACTAGGACGGTTCTGGCATAGTGATGCTGAGGTGGCGACGTGGTGCCGAAGGATGTGAACGCTGCCGTGGCCACCATCAAGACCAAGCGCACCATCCAGTTCGTGGACTGGTGCCCCACCGGCTTCAAGTGCGGCATCAACTATCAGCCGCCTACCGTGGTGCCCGGTGGTGACCTGGCAAAGGTCATGCGCGCCTGCTGCATGACGCCTGGCGAGACTGATGTGATCCGTAGTCTGAACTCCGCAGTCAAAGGGGTTATGTGGGAGCTTATATACGGAAAAAGTATGTTATATAGAGGATAATATAGATGTTATATAGGGGAGTATATAGGCGACTTTATGTTACATAGGGGATTCTATAGGGGACTTTCATGGGGCTTATTAAGGGGGATACTCCTTCAGATCGCTCCCTCTCAGACTCCTTAGTGGGGTGATATGGCGGATTATATAAGGGAACTATTATAGGGTTTATTAATTAAGGGGGATACTAGGAGTGTAGACTATGGCTCAAGTACCCAGTGTGATAAGGGAGTTTCTCACATCAATCCGTATATGCACTAATCAATAGCGACCCTCCCCATTTTCCTGTTTTAGAATCCCTGTATATCCCTAGGGTACGTAAGACACAGGAGAATGGCCCTCATGACTTCAAAAGCTTGCTCAGGGCCTGACCCAGATCCAAATGCAAGAAGCTAGAGGATTGTCGGTTCATTTCTGTGCGAACTAGACCAGGCCTCATCACCCCACAGCTAACAAACACATCGAAGCCGTAAGTTTAAGAAGGTCGCTATACAGACCACGCAGCTTGAGGTTACGTGATTTTGTGGCACTTTAAATATGCTGAGTTCCCCAGTAGGTGCCGTGTAAAACCAGGAAATACTAAACAAAAATGCGATCCCTCTCTTCCTAGGTACTGAGGATCCTAGTATGCTATAGTTCAATGGCGAGCAATCTTCAGAGCCTGAGGCGAATGATCATGTTTCGGCAGCTTTGCATATGCCAAATACTTGCAGATGGGAATGCCTAAACCCTTCACCATCTCGTGTTCAAAGCCAGGTGGCTTTCTTTGTTGTCAGAACCCTGCCCTTTGGAGCAGCTACACGTAGAATGGCCCTGAACGCTTAACGGCAAAACCGATGTGGCTTTATCCCAGGATCTCGAACAGCACGGCCATTGCGGAAGTCTTCTCACGCATTGACCACAAGTTCGACCTCATGTACTCCAAGCGTGCCTTCGTCCACCACTACGTCGGGGAAGGCCTGGCGACGGGTTGAAGGTGGTACTGTTCAGGGTATAAGGTCTAGAGTGTAAGTTTAAGGTTTTAGGTTTTATTTTTCAGCTTTCAGAATCAGTGAATTGTTAGAAGGCCGTTTGTGATTTTGCCAGGTTTGCCTTTATTTCTGAAGCAGCATTTGTTTTGGGCATGCAAGGAGTACTTGCGACATGATTACCGTCTTCCACATACAAACTCCACGCATGGATCCTTGTAAGACATACAGTCCGTTAGGATCTCAACAGGGACCTCCGGAGAAGAAAACAAAAAAGAGGCTCCACAAATTTAGACCTCATGCTCTCAACCCGAGCCTCGATGAGCCCTAAAACATGAACCCTGAACTCTAAACCCTAAACTGCAAACCCTAAACTGTAAACTGTAAACCCTAAACTCTAAACTTCAAATCCTAAACCCTAAGCCCCAAACCTCAATGAGGGTTCCTCAATTCACTATGACGAATCCGTCAGAGGGATCCTGGTAACCCCGGTTGAGTACCTAAAACGGCCCGGGGTCACTCCAGTGATCAGCCCAAGGTAGGGACTGTCTATAGACGTTAGGGCCCGAAGTAGGCATCCAGCAATTACTTACATGTACCCTAAACCCTAAACTTCGAACTCTAAGATCCTAAGCCCTAAGTTTCGAACTCTAAACCTAAACCCCAAGCAAGTGAAGTTACGCCAAATGCCTGCAGGCATGGAGGAGGGTGAGTTCTCCGAGGCTCGAGAGGATCTGGCGGCGTTGGAGAAGGCTGCGAAGGGCTTAAGTAGTATGTTTCTTAGGGTTTAGGGTTCAGGGTTTAGCGTTTAGGGGGTAATGTAGACTCCTGATTGCTAAGCCCCCGTGATTTTTAGGGCCTTGATATTAGGATCCCGACCCCATGAAGAAGATGATTGCCGAGTTGGGCGCTTGACCCTTAAGTATTGTGGTAATGTAGCCTTGCAGCTACCCATCTGGTTGAAGCTTGCTGCCATAATGAACCGTTCTGGGGGTCCCCATAAGAAGCATTACAGTATATTGAGGTCTACATTGGGGCCCCCCTGTTTAAAGGAAACTGCTGCATGGGAGTCTCTCAAAACCGTCCTTGTCTTGAAGCCTAGGGGGGGCCCCGCTTTTGAGAACTTTTTGGGGGGGCCTGTACGTTGCGACTGACAAGGCACAGCAGCAATCCTAAACCCTCGACCTGAAGGCTCCCCGCTTTACCCTACACGCCTGTTTTAGGGCGGGACTGGCAATGCTACGTGATAACGAAGAGATGGAAGGATGAATCGCGTTGACTAATTCTGGTCTATCGATTTCAAGGTTTAGGTTCCCCAAACTGAAATGAATCCCTCCGTGCCGTGCTACAAAAACTACAACCGCCTTTAAAATTGACCTGTTCGGGTTGTATTGGGGTTAGGGTTTAGAGTCCTTCGTCTTCTTGCCAGCTCCGGCCACTTGCAGGGTTTTGGGTTAAGGGTCTGGGGAGGTTCCCAGAATTTACCGTCCTGTTTTCGTGCGTATCATTGGGATCCTCGTTTTGGTGTAGATAAGGGGGATCGCCTGTCTCCGGAAATGTCATGCCGGAGTGAATGCACTTCGTGCTCATCACTTGGAATTAACAGCGGTCATTCAAATAAGCCCTAGACCCTGTAGCCTCTGATGCCGGCTTGCATAATTAACCCCAAATCTGCTGAGCCCATAGCATCCCCAAACCCAAACCCCTAATTCCGGCTGGAGGACTACGAGGAGGTTGGGATCGAAACTGCGGAAGGAGAAGGAGCTGGGAGTTCTGAGTTGTTGCTGATTCTTCAGGGTTTAAGGTTCCAGCGCGTGGTGCAGGACATTGAGGCTGTTTGGGGCTTGTTCTGTTTGACTCTTTGTTGGCACCAAAATCTGTTTTGGAGTTGGCTTTTGCGGGGCAAAGGGCCTGTGTGATATCTGCAGTTCTTTCTGCCGATGTTGTCGGGTATTCGTTCTCCGTCGTTCCTACACGAACATCCTGGTTCTTTTTCGTTACAGGATGTTTTTGAGAGTTGAACTGTTGTGAACATACGGGGTGACAAGTGGTATCAAACTCACGGATCTCTTCACATTTTATGTTCGTGAATGTTCGCCGCCCCACACTCTAGACCCCAAACCCGCAACCCCAGACCATAAACCCGACGCTTCTCGTTTTTGCTCATGGGCATAGTTGGAGCGATGAACCCAACCTCACAACTTCAAATTCACCAGGCATGTGAACACTATGTTCTCGGAAACTCCTGTAGGCGCGAACCTTTGAAAGGATAGTTGGTGGTCTACGCAGCCCATCCTTTTGGATTCGAAGTAGCCCCCGGCTAAAAGGAAAGGCTATGGAGGCTGCCTCTGGGGTTCCATGATAGTTGGAGTAGGCTAAAGTCCATGCCCATCCCCTTGCAAAACAGGAGAGGAGGAGGGCTACGGCGATGAGTTCTGAGCCCCTTGCGGACAGGACCCAAGAAAGCCCACGTTTGTATTGCACGTAAAGATACATGTGCAACATGTAAATGTCAATTGCAGCTATGTGATCATTACAATTTCTGAAACATTGCGTTATGCGACAAATTCACATTTTTCGTTTACGTCACAGGAACTACAGCAGGGGTTCCGGAGGAGTCCAACTCCAATTGGGGGCGCTGCTGAGTACTACCCTTAGAAGAAACCCGCCGCTCCCCCCTTCGTGTTGTAAGCATAGCCCCCCCACGTGGCCGTATTCCATCCCCATGCCACTACGAACCCAAAGAATCCCAAAGATAACACTGCAAACCCAACAAAGTCTGAGAAGGTGTTCGTGATCGATATAACCCCACCCCAGGTGATATATACTTTGCACGTCCCGCCTCATGCATATTCACCCCCAATCTAAAACCGTACTGCAACATCATGGTGCAATATCATGGTATTCAGTATGGTCAAGTTCGTAGGCGAGACTGAAGCCGTTTATGGTTCAGCGCTTTGGGTAAGTTATAAGTTATATTGGTTAAGGCTGAAGAGGCTGGATGGTGCATGATGCTGCCTTTGGCATTATTCCAATTGCCATATGCCAAAACTGTTGTACTCCCACCTTCGGTACACAGTTGGAGTGTAGCTAGACAAGAACTTAATTCTCATATTGGGCTGGACCTTGGGAAGGTGTCGCTTGCCAGTGAGTGAACTGCACTCACCGGCAGGCATTTGGACTTGTGATAGCTCCACCGTTTCAACCAGGTGAGGGCAGCGCTGTTGCAACCGTCAGACACAAAACGGCCAGCTGCATTCAAACCCTGTCCGTCAAACCCACGACTTTCGTTTATTCCTTATCCTAAGCCGTACAGTGGACCTTCTGCAAGTGGCAGAGGAAAACAAGTCGTGGCCCCCCTAGAACGGAACCAGGGAAAAGTAGTCTGAACCATCCCCTTCCACGCCGCAAGTCCTTGGTCCCTAAGCCTTCTGGTTGTTAGTAGCGAATATAATTTTTTTTCATCCCTAAATATTATATGCCATTGTTCCCTACGATCTAAACGCTAGGCCCTGAACCTCAACCCCAAATACCCCACGTTCCAAACCCAAAGGCACAAACAAACGGTATATGAGCCACTGTCAATATTAGGGTGTAGGGTTAGCCTTCTGACGGGATTGTTAACAGAGGACATAGGGTATATGCGTATCAAGGGTTAATGGAGAACGAAATGGACAAGAGAATCAACATGCAATGGAAACCGGGATTATGTACGGGTTGACAGGGATCTACAGGAGCAACTGTCAATATTAGCCTCATTAAGGGACCCTTAACTGAGGACAAGAGTATTTAGGACAAACGGAGAATCAAATGCAAAAGATAATGGACTGAATGGAAGAAGAGACTATACAGCGATTTCTGCCGATTATGGGAGGCACTGTCAATATTAGCCTTGTGAAAGGACTCTCAAAAATGGACATAGGCGTCCCTCTTGTAGTTTAGTATTTCCCCCGTATAGTCCCAAATAATCAACCCATGCCCATCAAACGATGCAGGAAATATTGACTGTAGCTCACAAGTGTGCAGTGTTTGGGACCGTGGGGACTTCAAGCGCAGCTAAAACCGATGAACCCCTAAACCTTCAGCTCCTAGCACCTAGCCCACAGAACCCTTACCGCCTAAACAAATACCACTGATCCCTCAATCCTTATCCCCTCAACTCCTCATCCTGACTTCTAACCCCAAGCTTTACCCAACCAAGCCTCCATAAATCCACCCCCCCTTCCCCCTATTAACCCCCGGCCATGGCCTCCCAACCCCCCTCACTCCTATCATGGTTCAAACCCTCAATCCGAAATGACCCCATCACCGCTAAAACCTAATCCCTCTTCATCCCTTGCTACCCCTGTGTGATCCCTGCATAGCCATCCTTGCATCCCCCACTCCCCTGCCGACCTCTGAAGCCTTTAGCCACCATAGAAAGCTTAAACCCTACACCCTAAACTCTAAGCCCTAGCCCTGAGCCCTACACCCTAAGCCCTAAACCCCAAGCCTTAAACCCTAAGCACGAAACCCTAAACCCTTAGCCCTAGACCCTAAGCCCTGAACCCCATAAGGTCATGCAGACGTAAAAGGCCGTTGTAAAAAAGAACCATAAGGTCTAAACCTTGGGTATTGCCCCCACCCAGTAACAGTCTAAATTGGGGGTCCTATTAAGCGCTATATATAACCCTCTTATACTTATTATCCAACTGTTACTGAGTGGGGGCAGTATCCAATCTAAACCCTAAACCCCTAAACCCCAAAACCCTAAAACCCTAAACCCTAAACCCCTAAACCCCTAAACCCTAAACCCCTAAACCCCTAAACCCCTATATCCAATCTTAACCCACCTCTTTCCCATCCCAAAGAGCCTTTGGCCAGGTCAGCGCAGGGAGAGGCCAACAGCTTTTGGCCAGGCCGTCATCGTTTTTCGGATCCGAAAGGGGCTTAGGGTTTACGGCTCAAGGCTACAGGGTTCAGGGCTTGCGGTTTGAGGGTTTAGGGCTTGGGGTTTAGGTCGTAGGGTTGAGGGTTCAGGGCTTAAGGCTTCAGGTTTAGGATTCCGCTAAAAACGGCGGCTATAGGCCATAAGATAAGGGGTGTGTAGTGATAGGTCCAGGTTATGCATGGAAGCATGGGGTTTATGCAATGTCTTCAAAAGGGGGTTAACACGGCTACAGGGAATTCATAGGGCTTATCTGAGGCTTGTAAGGGCAGGTTCAAAGGGATCGTAGGTAGGGGTATTATGGACACCTCTAACAGTGGGGTACAGGTTGGGACACCCAAACAGTAGAATCCTCATTATGGGGACCCCACAAAGAATCCCTGATCTATGGAAACCTCAAAAGCCAAAAACGGATTTTTATTGGGGACTCCAAACACTATCGAGCAGGGAACTCCAAGAATATAGTAGGAATATCATGGGAATACCCTAAACCCCAAACCCTAAACCTTGAGCCCTAAACCTTAAACCCTAAACCCTAAGCCCTAAACCCTAAACCCTTGGGATCCCCAATAAGGTCCTTTCAAACCTTGCGTCCGTGTCAGGCCTCCACTCTGGAGCTCCAGCCGTCATCTGTGATCTTCAAGGCCAGCCTCATTTGAGCCATGCGGTTTAGGGTTGAGGGTTCAGGGGGGGATGTCTCGAAATGGTATTTAGGATTTAAGGTATAGAGTTTAGGCTTTAGTAGGGTTCAGGGTTGAGGGACCATGTATAAGCATTTTAAAATTGCAATCAGGGTTTAGGGTTTAATTGGGTTCAATGCCCTAAGCCCTAAACCCTAAACCACATTAAAATATTCTCAATGGTTCTTCAGGCTCTGACCCCTAAACCCAGAACCCTAGGCCTGTGATGTCTAAGGCCAGCCACCTCATTTTCGGATCTCTCACAATCGGCATCATGCCGGGACTAGCAGTCAGCCCCTTGTTTCCTTTTTGGGGTCCTAGGTTTTCTGATAAAGCTTGGTCATACGACAAAGAACCTTTGTTTGAATCCTCAGTTACTTGGGATCCTAGAATGTATACAAGGATGCGAAAGGAAGAACATTATGTGAGCTATAGTCTAAACTTCTTTTAGGAGATTATATAGCGGAGTATTATAGGGCTTTCTTAAGAAGGAAACTGGGCGGGGAGTTTAGACTATGGCTCATGTAGTTCTTCTGGACTCTACAGTAGCCTAGCGCTATGCGGTCTTTTTTGCCTGCTCCAACACCCCAAACTAGGACCCTATGACTGTTTTATGATAGTCATAGGGTCCTAGTTTGGGGGTTGGGTCACCAAAATCCTTTTTTTTGTTATTATTGGCGGGGGCTCAACATTGGGTACGTTTGGCACCTTTTTAACATGACATATCTACTTTTCAGAGTTTTTGGTGGTTTTCAAAACACGAAGGGATACCCTAGGAATTCTCAGGATAGTTTAGGGTTTATTACCATTACTTAGGGTTTGGGGGCGGCTTTTCGGTTTTGAAATCTTAAAAGTCTAAAATTAAGGAAGTTTGGGAACCCAAAGTAATGGTAAGTTTACATTGGCTTGAGGGTTTAGGGTTTGGAGGGGTGCACACCCTTCAGGTATAGGGAGCTCTGTTTGAGCCTGAAGTAATTCCTTCCCCCTAGCTAACATGGACGCCCACATAGAACCCTTCTAGACGAACAGGCGTCTGACTGTCTGGAGACATTTTTTGTTTCCATGTAACATTGGGGGAGGTATTTCAATGGGCCTTCCCGATTCTTTGGTACCTGGGGTTAAGGGTGTAGGGACCCGGTAAACCTACCACTACCAGATGTCCCCTGTGACCTCTGACATAGGCCTCCGAGCCCCTGCTTATCCACTTCCTCATTTTTCCTGAGTTTCCAAGTACAGCTCTAAGTTTTCTGCTGGTATCTTGACAACTTCCCTGGACACTCCCAACCCTTTCACAGTGCAAACCCTAAACCATAAACCCTAAACCCTAAATCCTAAACCCAAACCCTTGAACCCCGAACCAGAAAGCTTTATCATCCCTACTCTAACCTTTACCCCCTGGCCTTCAAAGCCCCGAACCCCGAAGCCAAGATCTTGCCACAGGAATCACCCTAAGACGACTAGCCTAAACCCCAAACCTTGACCCCAGACCTGCGACCCTAAACCCCAGACCCTAGACCTTAAACCCAAGCCACGATCCTAAACCCTAAACCCTGAACCTTATATCCTAAACCCAAAGCCTTCAAACCCAAGCCAAGATCCTGCCACAGGAAGCCAAGCCCGATATCCCGCAGCATTGCACCGTTCGCGTCTCCTTTCTCTGCCCGGGCCTAAGGGTTCGTCTTGGGAGATTTGGGGGTTTTAGGGTTTAGAGTTTAGAGTTTAGGGTTTAGGGTTCAAGGTTTAGGGTCCAGGGTTTAAGATTCAGGGTTTAGAGTACAGGGTTTAGTTTTTCGGGTTTTGGGTTTATGGCTTGGGGTCTAGGGTTTAGGGTT